TTGGAACAAATTCAACTTCTGAAGATCTGATTATATTGTGAAGTTCATCAAATTGTGAAAATGTCAAGCCACTCAATGCTTTCATTTGGACATCATCATTAACTAAACCATCCATTACATCTCTTCTTTCTATTTTTTCTTCTTTGTTTTCCATTTTAATTTCAATTTTTTCAAATTTACAATAGTCTTCTTCCATTGTTAATCTTTTAAGTATTTCTTCTGGTGTCTTTTTTGTCACTTTTTCTTTTGAACTAATTATAATTAACTCAACATCTTCTTCATTCAATATATGATTATCTTCAAAAGGTAATCGACAGGTTAATGGTAGAGTGAATTTTGGAACATCTTGAACGTCGTTTTTAAACTCTAAACCCAGTGAAATCGGTATTTTCTCGTTGTATTTTCTGACTTCTTTTTTGGCTTCTTTTTTTCTTTTTTTTTCTGTTTTTTGATTTTTTCTATTTTTTCTATTTGATTATTTTTCTCAATTTTTTCAATTTTTTCAATTTTTTCAATTTTTTCAATTTTTTCAATTTTTTCAATTTTTTCAATTTTTTCAATTTTTTCAATTTTTTCAATTTTTTCAATTTGATTTTTTTTCTCGATTTTTTCAATTTTGTTTTTTAATGTTTCTTTGCCATTTCTTTGACTTTTTTATCAAACAATTCTAATTTTTGTTTTAAAAAGTCAAAATTTTCGTCGTTGTGCGTGATGTTTAAACGTTTCATATGTAAAATAGATCTTTTTTATTTGTTATTAGAGCCACAAAATCAACTTTTTAAGAACATATTAAAATTTGTTTATTATAATTCTTACATTTTTTTATTTAAATAAAAAATTATTGTATAATTAATATACAAATTTCAATAATTAAATATTTAAACCTTTCTTTATTTTTTTAATTTACAAAAATCAATACAAATTAATCGGCAAAATTAATTTTTATTTACATAAAAAATGAATAATCTATTTATATTGAAATTTATTTTTGCCATCCATTAAAAAGTGGTTTGTCAAGTGGATTGAAAAAAAGATACATGTTTCCAGTGGATGGGTCTCATTCAGTCATATATCTTAAATCACCAAATTATTTTTAGCATAGCATACCAAATTATAAATATGAATTAAAAACCATTTAAATAATATTATTTATTAATCACTCTAAATAATAAATCAATAATTGTTCTTTCTTAAAAATTCGTTTGTTTTCAACTATCGGCTATTTTTATATCGAATAGTTCATATTAATTTAATTATAAAAACATTTTATAAAAATTATATATTTATTTTATTTTTAGATATATACAATAATTGAAAAGACCTTTATGAAGGTAAAATGTAAAGAATACGATATTTGACGAAAAAACAATTAAAATAAGAATTTATTTTAATGTTTGTTATTAATATTTAAAGCAAAACTATTGATATTATTGAAGGGTTTCAAAATCCTATATAAAACAATAAATTATAAAGACTGATAATGATGGCGAAGATGATGTTGCTGATGTGAGGATGGAAAGTAGACGGAGAAGACGGAGAAGACGGAGAAGACGGAGAAGACGGAGAAGACGGAGAAGACGGAGAAGACGGAGAAGACGGAGAAGACGGAGAAGACGGAGAAGACGGAGAAGACGGAGAAGACGGAGAAGACGGAGAAGACGGAGAAGACGGAGAAGACGGAGAAGACGGAGAAGACGGAGAAGACGGAGAAGACGAAATAGATAAATTGGAGAACATACAAATTTAATGATGGATCTCATATTTAAATGAATATTAGTTCAACTTTTGTTGTTTTAATTTTAATTTATATAAAAGCCTA